AATTTACCTACTGGAGGCTGGGGGAGGGGTGGACAGCCTTCCCAGCAGTGAGGCAGAATAGGGAGGTCAGGGAGAAGGTGTGATTCATTGAGTCTGGCTGGAAGCAGGGGGAATTCCGAGCAAGAGGGGGGTGGTCAGGGCTATCCTTGTCATCCTATCTGTAGGATGCAGTGGTGGGGGTGGGCATAGCACGTACCTGGGAGTCCCACGTCCTCAGCCATCTGCAATCTAGGGTAAGGCAGGAAAGGCTCCCTAACTAGAAAGTTTTTGCCAAGGTTTTCTATTTTACCCTCCCTCTAATTCCCCACTCCTGCCCAATACCTAAAATGAAAAGCTTTGCACCTACAGTCCTTAGCAATGGCATGAAATATCTCATGCTACCCCGAAGAATCTGGTTGGAGAAATAATTTATTGAACCTCTCTCTAGTCTTTACTAAGCATTCAACATATGTTATCTCACTGTACATTGCCACGATGCCGCATGTGGTAAGTATGATGACTAATTCCATGTTAGGTGAGAAACACAGCTCAAAGGAATTGAGCACCACATCAAAGGCCACATGGCTAGTGAGCTGTCAAGCCAGGGATTTGAAACCGAGGTGTGTCCAACTCCAAACCCTGTTCCTCGATGCCACAGTGGGATGAACTGGCCTTCAAGGAAGAGAAGGCAGAGATGAGGGAAAATACCTCCTTCAGGCATCACCTCAAAAGTACCTTCCTCCTGGAAGCCTCCTTGGCCACCCTATCTAAACTGTCACCTCATCCCTTCCATGACAATTCACACCTACCTTCCCTATAATATTTTTTATTTCTGTTTATCACTAACACACTTGCTATTTCAATCTTGTTTATTGTCACTTTTGCTAAAGTCAGCTCCATGAGGTCAATAATTATTGCATATTTTCTTCACTGCTGTGTCTTCTGCATCTAGCATTCATACATAGTAGGTGCTAACTCCTTAACTGTTAAATGAATGGAGTATTTTTAAATAGAACTAAGGGGCATGAGTATTGGGGAAAAAAGGTGATCCGTTCATTCAGAGGAAGAAAGGAGAGATGAGAAAAGATGGTGTGGGAATCTGGCCACAGGTGAGCTGGGGGGCCCAGATGAGCTTAACAAGAGGAAATGAGGGTCTGCCAGGTCCACTGGGGGCTCCAGTAGCCCCTTCCTCCTGGCAGTTGTGATTTCCAGCTGCCAGGGCCCCAGCTGGAGGGCTTCTGCTGGGGAGGGAGGGTGGAGCAGGGCGGGTTTACAGCCACAGAACAAAGGCCTGTGGACTTGCAGCTGGCCAGAGAGGCGGGACAGAGCAGTGGCCTGGGCCAGAGGGGCGGCCTGAGATGGGGGAGGGGGCACAGAGGAGGAGCTGAAGACAGCCCTCAGTGCAGCTGCAAAAGCAACAGCCTCCAGAGTCCCTGCAACCCCCAACACAACAGAGAATAGCCAGAGGGCTTCACTTTTAACCCTCCAACGCCAGGGCGGCCTGTGCTTGTGGCAGCACCCCCGGCTTACAGTTGGAACCTTCACAAGGTTCTGGGAGCTGGGAGAAGAGAAGGGGCAAGGCATACCTCTGCAACACAGGCGCCTTCCCCCTCCGGCCCTGGTCATCCCGCTGGCCGTGGCCTTTGGCCTCTTCCGGCGTAAACAGTGACCCTGGGATAGCTGCGGATTTGGTAAGGCAAATGTTTACTCTGGAGCTGAGATATTAAGACCAGGGTGTTTTAAACATCCACTAATGGCTCCTGGTGTCTAACAGCTCCTTGTGGCACACACGTGGGACATAGCCAGCAAATTGTAAAACCCCTAGGAGACTCCCTCCCCATCCACTGTGAGCCCTTTAGTTTTAACATAAGTTTATGGAGCACTTTCCACAAATGAGGCTTCCTTTGATCCTCACCACAGCTCCTATGAGGAAGAGCAGGCAAGTAATCCCACTTTATTCATGTGGAAACTGAGTCAGAAAAGATAAGTGAATTAGCCAGATCATGTTGGAAAAAACACAGATCAGACGATGAGGACAACGGAGCTCTGGTTTCTACTTGGCCAATAGGGTCCCAGGCTGAAATCACCTCACCCCTCTGGGCTCTGCTGCCTTCACGAATAAATGGAGTAGGCTAATCCAAGGGGCCTTCCAGCCCAAGTGACTGCCAGTCAACTCTATCAATCTTCCATGCTATGCAGAAGAGCCAGGTCTAAAACTAAAACTAAAAGAGTCCAGGCATAAACCCGTGCTGGACTACCAGGCCAGTGCTCTTTCCACTTTCCCTGCCATGTCACTTCTAATAAAAGGCAGTAGAAAAGCCCCCAAAGCAGCTCTTCAACCAATCACTCCCTCAGCAGCTAGGACTTGGCCTGGGGGTACCTCTTCCCCCAACTCCCTGCCCCCTCCCCAGGGCTGATTACCCAGGGAGCCAATGGGTTGCCCCATCTTCCAGGAAGGGAGTAGGGGAGAGCAGGGGAGTGGGGAAGGAGTGGGGGACAAAGGGGAGGTGAGGTCATAGCATCCAGGGGACCAGCCCGGAACCACAGGGGAGAGATGAATAACAGAGAGATAAATGTACACTTTTGGTTCTCACTCCCTAGGTTTCCTCCTGGGGAACAGTTGGGGCTTAATCACTCAGGATCTCATCCTTGTCCAACAAAGGGGGCCCGGAAAGCCACATTGCTTAAGGCTAGGCGGCCGATGTACTCAGCGGGGAGCCCCTCCCCAGCTCCGGACTGTCATTACCCTCCCTGCTTATTATTTCTTGAGCAAGGGCCATGTGACTGGGCTGCGTGCAGAGGCACGGCTGGGGAGACTCTGGGAACCCCCAGTCCAGGTTTTCCTGTAAGGTGAATGCAGTGTGGGTCTCCTGCTGGGTGCCCCAGAGCAAGGGACAGGCACCTACATCTGCCAACAGATTAGCGAGTGACCTCGAGGATCAAACTCTTTCGCGGCCGCCAACACCACCCTCCCCAAAAGCCACACCTCTCCAGCCTCCAACCATTCCATTTCCCCCTCTGTTCTTCCTTTTGTGTTCCAAAGGCGCCCCAAAGAGTCAGTAGCTATTTAAATAACGCCTTAAAAGTTTAAGCTTGCACGCCTTATCCTGGCTTTCCAAACCAAAGGGCTGGGTGTGGGGGTGCGAAGAACCAAACCGACTTCAGGAGTGGACGAGGTCGAGGCAGCCGGGTGCCTCTGGGTTTACCGCTCCCCGCTTCTGGCCCCCACGCTCCTCCCTCCCAGACAGGTTGCGGAGATTCCCAACAGCGAGCACCATGCGGCACCAACCCGGAACAGGCTGCAGGCGCCTCCCGGGCTGGCAGGAGCCGTGGCTCGGGTCGTAGTGCAGAAGGGTCCGCCCGCCCGGCCCACAGCTCCAGCCAAACACCAGCTATCGGGCGCGCGCGGCCTCGCGGGCTTCCTGGATTTCAAACTGAGCCTCTCTGGAGCCGCCCGGCGCATTTTGCCCCTTTTGTTTCCGGAGTGGAGGGAAAAAAGGACAGAAAAAGTCTTCCCACACGACCCTCCTGCGCTCGCGCACTGTGCGGCAGGGTGGCCCGGGTTCTCTGTCGCCCCGGTCCTCACCCTGCAGGGGGCTGACACGGGGGCCGCGAAGGGACTGGGGCCCCAGCGTGACTGCGGGCACCGCCGCTCCGCCGAATGCAGGCAGACAGAGGGGAGAGAGGAGAATCAGGGGACACTCACCGAGCGTTCGCCGCCCCGCGGGCTCGGGACACGCACGGCGTGCGGGGCTGCCCAGGTGCTGCCGCGACTCAGGCGCGAGTTTGAAAGTCGCTCTCCGAAGGGGCCGAGGCAGTCGGCAGCTCCCGCCCACCGCCAGCTCCTCAGCCGGCCAGGACGCGGTCAGTTGCTAGCGCGGCCCCCGGGGACCCCAGGCAGCGCGCGGCTTCCCAGCGCCCGGCAGGAAGTCGCGGAGCGGAGCCGGAGCTGCAGCGGGAGGGCAGGAGGCAGCGAGGGAGCGAGGGAGCGAGGGAGGGGCGGGCCAGGAATTTTTCCTGTGGGTGGAGACTCCGGCCCGCGGCTGCGGTCCAGCCATTGGCGGCTCTGCGGGGGCCGGGGGAACCTTCGCGGCTTGGCGAGCCAGAGCCGGGGTAAGGCTGAGGCGGCGGCGGGGCCTGGGCGCGGTTAACGATTAACACCCGCAGGGTAATGAGCTCACACCACGGGATGGTCGGTCCCGCCGGCCGCCTGCCCCTCCCGGGCAGCCTGGATGCTCTAGGATACCAAGACGCACGTGGTGGGGTCACCCTGGTGTCACAGACCTGCTATCACTGCCTCCCGAGAGCGCATGTCCAGGCCAGAACGTACCCCTTGTACGGACAGGGAACACCGGGCCCTGCGAAGGGGGCTGAGGGCTTTCCCAAGTGAGTCACCAGCTGGGATCGAATCTCGGGGTCCTGATCCTACCAGAGCTGGCCATCTCCGCTTTTCCAAGTCAGAAAGGCATGTCTTGAATTTCTCACCATAACTCGGTCCCTGTGACGCTTTACAGTGGTAAATCCAAACCTCTGAGAAGCTGACGGGAAAGAGATAAAGAGATAACTTGAAGGCAGCTCAACAAGGAACTGTTAAATAGGAAAAATAAAACACAGAAGCCTGGGTGATAGAGGACCTCGTTTTTATAAAACAAAGAGAACCGTTTGTCTTTATGTCTCTGTATATATATGACCGTGTGTGCATGGAAAGGTACACACCTGGAAACTGGGGGCAAGGGGTGAGGATGGGGGACAGAGGCATTCAATACAGGCATGTTGGATTTTGAGCAACAGCATAAATCCAAAAACCCATAGTAATTCATCAATAAAGATTCTGAAGAAACGATGCTGTTCCCAACAAGCCCGGAGGAGGGAAGCCCAGAGTGGGGCCCTGGAAAAGTAACAACGCCCACTGTTTAGACGCTATCACTAGTTCCTTGGGAGGAGGAATGGGACGCTGATATCAAAACCACGGGGTATATTTGTTATCCGGATGTACAGCAAAAGATTTCTAGAGGTATCATTTAAAACCAAACAAGCGCCCGCCCCAAAATGCTGCTCTGGGCAAATGCAAGGTCCAGGTGATCTGCTGCGAGGGGAGAGGCGGGGCAGGCGCGGAAGGAAATGGCTTTCAGGTGACTTTGAAACTGGATGCTGGCGGAGGGTGGGGTGAAGGCAGCGTCCTGGCTCTTGACTGCGGAGGAAGCGGTAGGCGCTCGATCTGACAGGCCCAGAAAGCCGGGCCCACATTCCTTAGGGAGGGAGGGTGTGTTGGAGGCTCGCAGAGCTCCAGACTCGCGGACCGCGAAGGTGAGAGCAGAGATTGCAGAAGAGGGCCTCGGAAATAGATCAACTTACGCTGGGGCTCCACTAGCCCCCGCCGGCCAGGGGAAAAGTCACAAGTCTCCCTTCTGGCCTTCCAGGACTTGTGCTCACCCCTTCCAACCTCAGGCTTTCATCATTTTTTTTGTTTCTGCTTTCTTATCTGATTACCTGAATCTTACGAATGCTTTCCGGTCCGCTTCAAATTCCAGCTTCCAAAGAAGCCCTCTGACTTAACGAAGCCACTTGTGAGCGACCCTTCATTCCTTAGCCAGGACACGTTACAGTGTTAGTGGCAGTCATAACTGTCCTTTAGTGAATGCTTACCATGCTGAGGGCCTGTGCTACGCTCTTAACAAACTGTGTCCCTGGATCTTCACAGCCACCTTGCGAGGTAGGAGGTGTCCTAATCCCCATCTTACAGACAGAACACTGAGGCTTAGGGGCAAGGAGCAGCTTGGCAAAGATTACATAACCAGCACAAGCAGTATTGGGCAAGTGCCTAGATGGGTCCACCATGAGTGTGCTTACTATGTATTAGCCGTTCTTCTAAGTGCTTTACAAAAACAACTGCAGTAACAAAAGGAAACTGAGGCAAAGTCACACAGCTAGTGAGTGGTAGACCTGGAAGTCATAACAGGGAATTCTGCTCTTAACCACCACTGCTTCCAGTTTCTTTCTGACACTTGTTATACCCAATTCACTTGATTATAATATCTTATATTGTTTCTATGAATAATTGTTTTAATTTATATCACCTACTTCCTAAAAGGATTGTAATCTCCCTATGGTGGAAGTCATATAGGAAGCATTCAGTAAAACAATGCTGAATTCAGCTGAAACAACCTAAAGGGTTTGTGAGAAATCGCACAGTCTCACCTCGGAGAATAAAACCCTGTGTCCAGGGCCAGGGGCTCCAGGCTGCAGCCCCTCCACAGCTCAGAGCCTCTTCCTTCCTACCAGTTCTTGTTGCAATGGCCTCACTCTGCTATTAAATCATTTATTATTTTAATAGTACCTTCTCCCTCAGCAATGCCTTTAATCCAAGATCTCAGGATGTTCTAACAAATACAGATGATTCACTTTCACAGTACCCCAGCTGAGATGAGGAGATGGAGGTCTTCTCCTCACTGTATGGGTGAGAAAACCAAGACAACAGAAAATTGAGATCACTCACTATGGAAATCAGTGGCAGGGTTCACTCCCTCATCTCTTCCCCTCCTCCTTCCTAATTCTTGGCTGCCAATACTTGCATGAAAATTTCAAATCCCAGAGACAAGAGCCATTGAGTTTTCATAATAAAGGACATTTCCAGACTGTCATTTCAGCTGCTCTATTGTGGCAGACCTCAGGAGAGGGGGGGAACATAAGCCCAGTAAAGGTTCCCTGGGGCTCTGTGCTCCTGGCTCAGAGGAGCCATGCCTGGCTGGGATGGAGGAATGAAACCTCAAACATGGAGAAAATCCCCCTCAAAGGTGACCTGAAAAGCCCCACCAAGCTCTGAGATCTCAAAGCTTCCAGAGTTTCAACTTGCATTTTAGCAACATTTCTCAAAAATGTGAGCCACATGCAACAAAGGAAAAAAAATAAATTGGACTCACCAAAATTTAAAACTTTTATGCATCAAAGAATGTTAAGAAAGTGAAAAGACAACCCAAAGAATGGGGGAAAATTTTTGCCATTCATATATCTGACAAGAAACTTACTGAAATACATGAAGAACTCCTATAATTTAATAAAGGCAAATAACCCAGTTTAAGGACAAGGGATCTGAATATACATTTCTCCGAAGAAACCATACAAATGGCCAATAAGCATGAGAAAAGATACCCAAGGAAAATGCAAATTAAAAACATAGTGAAATACCATTTCACACCCACTGGGATGCCGATAATCAAAAGCAGGTAATAATAAATGTTGGCCAGGATGTGGAGAAATTGAAACCCGCTTGCACTGCTGGCAGAAATGTAAAGTGGTGCAGCTGCTTTGAAAAACAGTCTGGCAGTTTCTCAAAGTTTTTTGTTTTTGTTTTTTTGAGACAGGACCTCACTGTGTCACTCCAACTGGAGTGCAGTGACACAATTCAAAAAGTTAAATATAGATTTACTATTTGACTCCACAGTTTCACTCCTAGCTATATACCTAGGAGAAACGAAAACACCTGTTCATATAAGAAGTTGTACACACTGTTCATGGCAACATTAATTCACGGATAGTACATAAAAACCAAAAAGTAGAAACAACCAGGCCAGGAGTAGTGGCTCACACCTGTAATCCCAGCACTTTGGGAAGCCAAGGTGGGAGGATCACTTGAGCCCAGGAGTTGGAGACCAGCCTAGTCAACATAGCAAGACCCCATCCCACCTCTACAAAAAAAAAAAAATTTTTTTTTTTAAATTAGTTGGGCGTTGTGGTGCCTTCCTGCAGTCCCAGCTACTTGGGAGGCTGAAGCAGCAGGATAGCTTGAGCCCAGGTCAAGGCTGCAGTGAGCTATGATCATGCCACTGCACTCTAGCCTGGATGACAAGGCAAGACTCTGCTTCAGAAAAAAAGAAAAACAACCTAAATGTTCATCAACTGATGAATGAATAAACAAAATGTGGTGTATCTGTACAGTGGAATATTATTCAGCCATAAAAAGGAATGAAGTATTGATGCATGGATGAACCCTGAAAACATTATAGTAACTGAAAGAAGCTGGTCACAAAGGACCAACTGTTGTATACTTTATTTATATGAACTATCCAGAATAGGCAAATCCATATGGGGAGAAAGTATAGATTCCTGGTTTCCTGGGGCTGGAGTGGGGATTGAGGAAAGTTGGAAGAAATAGGGAGTGACTGCTTGCAGGTTCAGGGTTCTTTTTAGGAGTGATACAAATCTTGTAAAATATTCTGATGGTTGTACTACTCTGAATATACTAAAAAACTTTAAATGACCGACATAGTGAAACCCCATCTCTACTAAAAATACCAAATTTAGCTGGATGTGGTGGCACGCGCCTGTAATCCCAGCGACTCAGGAGGCTGAGGCAGGAGAATTGCTTGAACCAGGGAGATGGAGGTTGCAGTGAGCCAAGATCACGCCATTGCATTCCAGCCTGGGCGACAGAGCAAGACTCCCTCGTCTCCAAGAAAAAAAAAAAAAAAAAACT